AGAGAATTTTTGGGCAGATCTCCACCACCTGTTTTCTTGTAAAAGCGAAGCACTGCTCGATGCTTTAAAAGTTGTAATTAGTGAAGTGCAGAGTTGGCTTCTGTTATCTTACGAAAAGCCAATATCGACATTTTTCTACCACTTAGCGAATGATCTTAGCAGTTCTTCACCCTTTTGTAATCTCAATACCTATTTGTGCTTGGTATGCATTATCTCAAGTGTAGCAGACCGCTGCCACGTCTAACAGTGGATCAGGATCACTTTCAACTTCTTTGACAGGTAGCGGTTAGGATGTCAGGTATCATGGGTGCAACCCACAAAGAACAGAGTAAATTACCACGATTCTAGACCCTCGAGATAGAGACAGAGGGACGAGACAAGCTTACTCGTTATCGTTAATACAGAGCAGATGAGTAACACCTGATGTGGTGCTGTCCAGTTGTTGTGGTCAGAACTTACAAGACTAGCCAAATTGGAGCAGGGATGGTGCGTATCCAAAGAGAATAAAGTAATTCTGAGACTTCAAACATGTACGGTAGCTATAAACTGTGAACTGCAAAATTACTGTGGAGCAGATGTCATGTTAAATTGCACCTCGATTTTCAGGGCAACTTCTACCACACGTTCTGCTCATCAATCTTTCTGTCTCATTGTCTTCCTATCTTCTATCCTTTCTGCAGGGCCCAAATTCCAGAATTTAATGTTCTTCTACTTGTTGCTTTAGTGCCCAAATTCCATAATTTAGTGATTGGTTACTGAATGTGTCAATATTCGATATGACTGCCTCTAAATTGTGTCAGTTTCTACTGCAAAAGCCTACTTCCACCAGAAAGTAAGCGCACACCGACTTCGGAAGAAGAGGTGGGAAGGCACAGCAGAAGCCACCCAGTTTTTCACCCACCAATCGAAAGTGGTCAATGGAATGTCAAAGCTCTATATGTTCCGACAAAAAAAACAGAAGGCTGTCTCATTGTCTTCCTATCTTCTATCCTTTCTGCAGGGCCCAAATTCCAGAATTTAATGTTCTTCTACTTGTTGCTTTAGTGCCCAAATTCCATAATTTAGTGATTGGTTACTGAATGTGTCAATATTCGATATGACTGCCTCTAAATTGTGTCAGTTTCTACTGCAAAAGCCTACTTCCACCAGAAAGTAAGCGCACACCGACTTCGGAAGAAGAGGTGGGAAGGCACAGCAGAAGCCACCCAGTTTTTCACCCACCAATCGAAAGTGGTCAATGGAATGCCAAAGCCTATATGTTCCGACAAAAAAAACAGAAGGAAAATCATGGCAAAGAGCACTAGCAATTAACCTCAAAAACCACAACCACAAGAAGTAACAAAGTTTAGCAATCCAGATGGTAAATAACAACGATACTAGTTATCTGAATAAAACTGATCTGTCTGAAAACACTCAACAGTCAACCAGACTCCCATTAAACCTTTAGCCTAAAATGGTGTTTCTTAAAACACTAGTAGAAGAATCAATCATCCTCTTCAATAACCTTGGTACCAAGCCCCTTCGTTCCTTCTGGTGGGAGTTCTGCAACAGTTACAAGGGAGTAGAGCTCTTCCTTTGCATCTTCATCATCATTTCTCCTGCGAGAAATGCGAACCCTGATCCTCCTTGGAACACTTCGAATCCCTCTGCTCCAGATGTGCTTGTTCAGCTTCACATCCACTCTCACATCCTTGGTTCCCATAGCCTTCAGAGCGAACTTCCTAATCTCTTTTATGGCCTTAGGAGCCTTCTTCTTGAAGGTGCTGTTACACAAAATCAGACATAATATTTCAGTGCTTTATTTGATGTCACAATAGAAAACTGCAATGAACTAAAGATTCCACATATTCCTTTCCACTAGGTTTAAAGGCACCAATTGACAATGGGAGTATAACACCATCCAAATCCAAGCAGAAACATCCTAATGATATCTAATAGCAGAATGTGTGCAAACAAACATGTATCAGCAAAGATCAATACCTAATTTGGTGAAGGAAAAATTATGCACACCCAACAAAGCAGCAAACAATTTTTCTTATTGCAATGAGAATACAATAATGTTTGTTCCCACACAAATCATCAGCAGCCCCATGTGCCCAAGGAACCAGGTGACTAAAGGAATTGCTAAGGCTCCCAACCCATGACAGATTAAATTCTATTCTCCAAGATTTACATGAAGAAAGAAAGAAAGAAAGAAACATCCAACAGGGTGAACTAGGCATGTTAATAAGCAAAAAGAAAAATTAAGGGGAAATTACTTGTAGTGCTTTTAGATCAAGCTGAGTGCCCATTTACGAAACTATTGTAAAAACCCTGAAATAGTAATCCATGGAGATGCAAGAAAGTAAACTATTCTATAACCATGAATGAGCTGTAACTAAACTGGCAATATTGTCCTCCCTCCTCCCACATGGTCTCAAGTTCGAAACTCTCCTTTGTAACCCGAAAGGGAGGAAGGTCACCGGTCAACAGAAATATCAGTGATTCTTAACTTCTAATCTTTTCATTGTCGTCTAATCAAATCAATTAACAGAAGAAAATTGGAAGAAAATATCTTCAGATTTTGTATTCTGTAAATGGTTACAGCACATCTCTCGAAAAGTGATCATATTATCCCATAAAACTAGATTAAACCTTTGGCAATCCAGAATCCTTAACAGAATTACACTTCCTTCTCTAAATGCGAATACATAACTATTCCAAAGCCTGTAATATATCCGGTGGGAAAAACTAAGGCATTGCCTAATCTCTATAACGCACCATCATTACTTACAAATACCCATTTTTATAGAACCTACTTTATTGACAAACAAAAATAAATATAGCCAAATAATAAACTTTGAACCTTGATGCAGCAAAAATTGAACAAAAAGAAACGTAAGAAGAGTAAAAAAAAAAAAAACCATAGCCGAAAAGAAAAGAGAAGAAAATAATACCAGCCATGTAAACGCTTGTGGAGGTTAATGGTATATTCTCTAGTGACCACCTCCTCCTTTCTCCCCTTTGTTTTCTCCACCATTCTTCACTTTCTCTTTCCCTTAAATGTGTTGACTGAGTTGCCTGCATTACAAATTTGCAAAGATCAATAATAAACAAAATAACTCGACTGTAAGCGAGAGACGGAGAGAGACCTTAGTGGTTGAAAGAAGGCAGATGTTTGGGGGAGAGGCGCTACCGAGGCAGAGCTACCACTTAAAATGGCCCAAGTAAGAAAGAAAACCCTAGCTTGTCAACCGTCAATATTCATCTATAATAACCGAAATGACTTTTTTATCCTCTCAGTTGCTGTCATGGACGTCCGTCGCAATGCTCTATGGGCCGGTGGCCCATAAACATTCCCAATAGTCAATACACTTGCTCACTTTCCATTTATACCCTTCTGCTTAACCTCAATGGATCAGGGCTTCACCTCTATTAATTATTGTCCTTTTCTTTTCAAATTCAAAACAGCTATTTTCAAGTAGTTTTTATTAACATAACCAAAAGTAAAATATTTTTTTAAATAAATTATTTTATTTACATTATATAATCATACTTATATTACTAATAAAATAACCAAATTAATTATAGAATACAAGAAATACAATTAACCTAATTAAATAATACGAGTGAGCAATTAATCTCATGAATTATTACAAGTTCTTTTCTTAAATTTGTGTTAAATTTGTGTTGAAATACAAATGTGGTAAAATTAACTTCGAAGAACATCGAATTTTTCATGATATTATTAGGATAATCTATCTTAATTAACCTCATTTGGTAAAAATTCTTCCAAAAATGTAATTTCATAAAGTTTATATGATACTTATTATTGAAAATTAAAACTTTGGAATTTTTTTCTTAATTTAAGGAGAGAAATTGATTTATTAATCCTTAAAATTTTAAAACACTACAAAATCTCAATGAATATTTTGCCGTTGATCTCAAAGAGAAAAAAAATAAAAAAAATAATAGGTGATTGATAGAAACTTTTATTTCTAACGAAATTCCAATAATAATTTACTAAAATTAATTCTTAAAATTTCATGTTATAAATATTGAAGACACTTGTCACTCTAAATTTAAACTATGGATCATATCATTCCTTTGAAATTTTGATTTTATTAACAACCAAAGTTTTATAGCTTCATGATTTCTCAATAGAAATCTTGCTCCTTATACTAATGTGTCACAACTTAAATTAATCTTTCATTAGTTGATTTAAAATACGTTTGAAAATTCATTAAAAGGAACAAACTCCATCCAATGTTTCTAATAATTTTATGAATTAAAGTTTTAATCTTTCAGCATTTTATTCCTATAATTATGTTAGAATTATTGTTTTTTATTATCCAATGGTCTATGGCTCAACAAATATTTAAGTTTTTTCTTCTATGTAAATGTGACTAAAATGTATATAAAGTTTTTATTACTCTACTTCAAATTTAATCTAAAATTCAAGAATGAAGAATCTTTTCTTTAATTTTTTTTTAATAATAATTCAGTGAAAATGACTATCAAAAAGTTACTTATACTAAAATTTCATGAGTTATTTTTCTCCTTTTTTTAGAGGAAACAATGTTATATATATATATATATATATAAAAGAAGAAGAAGAAGTTAAATGACACAAAGTCTACTTGTCATATTTTTTTAATGATTTCCTTATTATTAGAAAATTGAACCCTCACATTTTGTTTCTCCAAAAACCTTAAATGTATCCTCCACAACTTTGATAAATCTATTTTTAACTTCAAAATCCATTTAAATCTACCTTAAAATTCTATCAAGGTTTAGAAACCACAAATATATATCTCTTTCTCAGAAAAAAAAAAAAAAAGGTTTATTTTGGCAATTAAAAGAAACTTACCTTGTTTTTGGATCGAATCCTATGTTCTTTTTTTTTTCTAATTTAGAATTAAGTTAAGAAACATGAAATCTTTCTCTCTCTTCATCTTTGTCTCTCTTAAATGTTCTTCTTCTCTCTCATTGCAGTAAGATAGAGACCAAAATAAAACTTCAAGGATGAAATTAAAATAACAATTAAAAAACTAAATGGTTCATCAAAGTCATGGAAATCACAAAATTGCCATCAACTCAATAGCAAGTTATGTGTGGGAAGTATATTCATTAAATAGTGAATTGTGTTTATGTGAACAATAAACCATCTACAATAACACTATATTTTTAGTAATATATATACGAAGTTAGATGACTAGAGTCTACTTGTCATAATTTTTTTTAATGATTTCCTTTTCATTAGAAAATTTAACCCTCACATTTTATTTCTTCAAAAACCTCTCATGTATCTGCACAACCTTTATAAATCTATTTTCAACTTCAAAATCCATTTAAATCCATTCAAAAATTCTATCAAGGTTTAAAAACCAAGATTTTATATCTCTTCCTTGAAAAAAATGGGTTTATTGTGGCAAAACTTACCTTGATTTTGGATCGAATCTTGTATTTCTTTTTTATAATTTAGAATTAAGTCAAGAAACATGGAATCTCTCTCCTTCTCTCTCTCTCTCTCTCTCTCAAATGTTCTTCTTCTCTCTCATTGCAAGAAGATAAGGACCAAAACAAAACTCAAATAAACTTCAATGATGAAATTAAAATCACCAATTAAAAAACCAAATAGTACATCAAAGTCATGGAAATTATAAAATTGCCATCAAGTCAATAGTAAATTGTGTTTATGTGAATAGTAAATCATCTACAATAAAACACTATTTTTTAGCATATTGGTTAATATTATAGTATATTATAAAAGAAAAGACAATATATTGTAGTATAAAAATTAGTTTGTATCCCACACATTGTAGGTAGAGTTTTAAGCTAATTCCTAATGTAAAATAAAAACTTGACAGCTTAGTTACACAATAACGACAAAAAGAGTTTTAAGAAAAGTTTAGGCCATTGTTATTAGTTAAGAAAGAGCAAGCTTTCAAGACATCAAAAGTAGTGAGAGAGGCATTTAAGGCTTAAAAGATGATATCAAAATTGAAAGAAGCAAATGAAATACTTCAAGGATAATACAATTATTAACAAGAGATAATATTTGCTTTTCTAAATAAGCAAATTGATAAGTTTTTTTGTTTTTTGAGTGTCCATGATGTTAGCAAAAGAAAATATAGAAAGAAAGTAAGAAAACTAAACATCTAAGGCCATATATTATCATTTACAAGCTAAAAAGGCTAAAGCCTATACCAGGGAACAATGCACAATATATAATAGGAGGTAAGCTAGTCACTTAGGGTGCTTTTCTATAACTATTCAGTGAGGTAAGAGATGGACTCAATCAAATTGCATCATATTCCAATATGAAACCTTATTTTAATATGAAACCTTGGGAGGATTAAAATAGTCTTGTTTAAGGCAATTTCTTAATGAAATTCATGATGTATCAAGCTTTTTCATAATAATCAAACCTTTTGGATTAATAAAAAGGAGAATTCTCACTTTGTTTTATATTTATAGATAATTCAGGTTCCTATAGATTTATAGTTCTTAGTAAAAACCTTTCAAAAAAATATAATCTAGTCTATCTTCATAATTACCAAACTAAAAATTAAATGAAAAATTGAAAAATAATGAACATACATATTCAATCTAACATTTTGCATCTATTGGAATATTCCATTCATTTATATACATTCTAATTATTCAAGTGAGATAGAAATCCCCCTAAAAACTAGCATTTTAGAATCCATAACACTTGACTCTATAAGAAGTAAATGTAGAATAAAAAAATAGTCAAATTAGAGGCCTGAGACCACATCGAGATTAATAGTTTCGAAGGAGATATCGCGAGGCTTGCTAATCTGCTTAAGTTAACCTTACAATCTAATCTATCAAAAGCTTCATAATCTAACTTGGTAGTAGGACCCTTAACACAATCTGCAGTTAATATATAACAAACCTTAGAGAAAATGACACAATGTTTGAGTCTTAATTTGCTACCTATTTTCTTTTCATGCAGTCTGTTCCTCCCTTTTAAGCACCAGAAATTATGGACTTGATGACTAATGAGTCCTAAAAAATAAAGATAATAAAAGATATTGATTTTTATACGTTATCTACCATATAAGAAAGGCTTAAAGTTATTGAATGGACAAATCTTTATGATTTTGGTAAAGTTTGAGGAAATATGTTTAGTCCTGAAAGTTGTGGTTCTTAAAAATTTTAAAGACATCAACCTTTTAGTCGTGTCAATAATTCACTGGTAAAGTTTGAGGAAATATGTTTAGTCCCGAAAGTTGTGGTTCTTAAAAATCTTAAAGTTTCATAATTCATTAAATATACTAGTACATAGTGTCCTATGACGTATATAAAAGTGTATATCAACAAAATGCTAGAGATCATGGATGATAAGAAGTTGTCAATCCATTTCTTCCAGAAAAGTTAAGTGAAGCTGTGTTGAGCTGGTACATGTAGCTAGATAACAATAAAGTTAGAAAATGAAAGGACTTAATGGATATTAACAAAGACTAACTTAAAATCAAATAAGTTTCTTCAATAATTTTGTGAAACTTCTTTTCCATACTTTTTGGTAGTTTTTTTTATCACTTTGAACTTTATTATAAAGAGTATTTCTAAAAGATCTTTTGTTCTGTTAATTTAGGAAGGCTCTTGATGAAGTCGTAAAAATCTCATATTGGATTTAAGCTTTTTGCGGTTGTTTCTTAGGCTAAAAATATATGAGCTTGTTGTTTCATACTATTCTGTAAAAACAAGTCCTTTGTCATGAAAGGAGACTCTCTAATACTTAAGTCAATAAATATAATTAAAAGAGCGAGAGCTTAGGAAAGTAAATATTGTGTATAGTTGTGTTGTTTGTTCTGTAGTCTTGTGTTCCATATGTTTACCTAGTGTTATGAGGTATTTATATACCTTGATTATGTGAAATTACCCTTGTAATGTAGAGTTACAATGCAACTAATTATGAAGAATAATTACTTTACTACACAAGTAATCTATAAAATATGTTATTAGTTGTTGCATCTCTTTGTGTTATTAGTAGGAAAGGTTGGAGCTCATGGATGATAGAAAGAAAAGTTGGCACCATATTGATAAAAGATGTGCTATTTGCAATTAGTAGTAGTTATTGAAGAGAAAACTAGGCAACTCACTGGCCTATAAGAGATCGTAACATTGCATTGTGACGAGTACCAATCATTGAAATTTTTAAAAATTTGTACAAGATTATCAATCCTAGATGGAAATATTTTTTAAACTTTTGATGAGATTTCTATTTAATTT